AATATCCTCCCCCTTTAATGAAATCAGTGTAAGGGTCTGCAGCAGAGACTGTAAGTATGGTTGGTTCAGTCTGCTTACAGAGATCCCAAAATTGGGAACTGTGATACAGCAAGACTTCCAAACACAGGAGCTGTGAAAGCAATGTTCGACAAAATTCTGTTATAGTCTCCTCTTCAGATGCTCAATGTGCATTCCTTCCAGACAAATGCATCTGATCACTCATATATTTAGAAGTGAGTTCTTGTTAAGACCTAAAACACAACACTTGAAATAGTCCACAGATCAAACATTTATGATACTTGGGAAAGAATTAAACATTTTCCTCTACCTTCCTTCTTCCTACCTAGCTTCCTCGAAGCTACCAACATGAATTTAACCAAACTCTGGGAGGCAGTGGAAGACAGGAGCATATTGTTGCTATATTTAAATTGTTTTATTTTAAGTGTTGTTAGCCACCCAGAGTGGTCAACTAACCAGATGGGTGGGATACAGTATAAATACAATGAACGAACGAACGAACGAACGAATAAATAAATAGGACGGCCTGGCATGCTCTGGTCCATGGGGTCACAAAGAGTTGGACACGACTTAACAACAACAACCTAGCAAAGCTAAAGTTCTTTTCTTATCTTCTTCTCATTTAAGAAAAAAGAAATGAAAGGGAGCCTTATGAAGATATAGACAATAGAAGAGAAGAAAGAAGTTACAAGACTTTTTGTCTTTGTGCCAAATAGAAGATTATCCTTAAGAGTGCTTACAAATTCGGTGAAGGTGAGGACAAGTCCAGAGGTTGAAACAAAAGAATAGTACTGTATTTGCTCTTCCTCATAACTTAGCTGCTGGCATAAAATGTCCACGTAATATAGTCTGCAACCTGTTTATTATCAAAGCCAACACAGAAAGATGTAGCAAGAAAAGGAAGGATGGAATTACCACAGAGAATGGTAAAATAAACACACTAAACCAAGATGAGAATTCCAAAAGAGATGGCAAAGGACTTCACCATGCCACACTAAAACTACTGTTTGCCTTAATCAGAAGCAAATAATTTTAGTCCTTCTATACTGACTGCTAAACAGACTAGACTTCCAAATTTCAGGGACATTTTGCTAGTACCATGTGATGTATTGATCTTGTCCATAGTATATAGATATTTTGAACAAACCGTGACTATATGGAAGCAACTAGATTAGTTTCTACATTTAATCTCTATAAAACCTGTCAAAAGAACCATATATCTCTTCACATGAAAATGACTCAATCCATTCTAATTCACATACTGAAGACACATTATTCTCTGAATGAAATATTAAAATTTGGAATTCCTCAAATTATTGTATACATTTATATATTAAATATTTGCACCATGTTTCCATGCCAACAGAATGCTAAAAACAACTTCAAAGTAAAATCTGCAATATATTAAAGAACAGAACCATGGAAACAAACCTCAAAATAGCAGCAATTAATCATTGAAGATATGAAATTATCCAAGAGAAAAATTATAGTGTTGAATATGTTTAAATATGCTGACTGGCAATATAACACTGCTGTTGCTGCTTTTATGCCATCAACTGGCTTCCAACGTATGGCTGACTGCATGAATCACTGAACTCTAAAGGTCCTCTTTTTCACAGCCCTACTTAGGTCTGGCAAACCCAAGGCTGCGGTTTCTTTTATTCAGCCAATAAATCCCTCTTCTTCATATGCTTTCTTTCCCATCTCTTTTATCTTGAACATACAGCAATTTGTACTTCTTGTTTCTTCTCATGCGATTAATGTAGTCTAGCTGATGAATTTTATGATTTCTTGGTCTTTATTCATTAGTTTTAGTACTTCTTCATTAGTCACTCTTGCGATCCAAGAAGTTCTTAGCATCCTGTGATGAATCCACATTTCAAATATTTCCACCTTTTTAAAAGTAGCTTGCTTTAAGGTCCATGAGAGTAGAACCGAGTCATTTTGTCCTTGACAACTTTCTAGGCTTTCACTTCCATATATAGCAGTAGCGGGGGAAAGCACAGCATGGATGATTGACTGGACCATTCTGTGCCACAGAGTAGAAATGAGAATACGTAATACTATATAATACATATTCTCAAAGCCACTTTCAAAATTTTGTGGAGGGCATAATACAGACTTCTTCTTAAATAAGCTGCTCAGAGCCATCCCTGTCCTGACATTTATTGTGTAGCTTTATAGTCAATGCAGAGATACTGCATAGGAGCTTCATTCCTGAACAATACTTGAGTATGGCTTCATTCAAATATGCTAAATGATGGGAAATTCAGGATAAACAAAAGGAAATACTCCATACTATACATAATCATATGAAACAGACAATTGCAGGCAGTGATAGTGAGTTAGATGGCTTCAATCTGGGTTCAGACAAATTCATGGAAGGTAAAGCAATTATAGTTGCTAGTCATTATGGTGATATACCACTTCCTATATCAGAAGCAGTATCTCTTTCAATATCAGTTGCTGAACATGAATAGGATAAGAATTTCCCTCTTGCATTCTGATGATAGATTTACTATTGGGACTACGAGTTGACTGCTACAGGAACAGAATTGTAGGTTATATAGTCCTTCGGTATGGCTCGTTTCATGATATTTTGGCCAAGTGTGAGTGGATTAGCAGACACTTAGGTCTACCTCCACATCCCATTGGCCCTCCGTAGGCCCCTGCCAAGGATACCTGGGAGGACAGGGTATTACTCCACAGTGAACTATCATCAGGATCCATAAGACTGGAAAGATTAAGAGTGGTGGGAAGACAAAGAAGACAGGAAAAAGCTCACCAAAGAAGTCTCCCACCAAGAAGACAATAAAAAGGAGAAAGAGCAAGAGCTGAGGACATTTGGTGGGAAAGAGGAGGAGGACGGTGAGGTGGAAGGTGGATAGATGCACCAGAGTGGACTGGGAAAGAGTTGACCCCAACAGTGTACACGGGCTATGTGGCACCTCAAGGCAGTCCTCCTTTAGGCACTTCCTTCGCTAACTCAGTATTGAAAGGACTTAACACAGAAGATCCTAAAGAATCTGAAAAGACCAAAACTAAATCAAGTCTTTCACCTGAAACCAAGATAAGCGATCCAGGTAACACCCAGTCCCAACCAAGGAACACTGTTCATACTGTGCAACACATTTCAAGTGTCTATGCCAATTAGCAAAAGACATTTGAGAAGGGAAGCTGAAAATCTATGACCCATAACTGTTGGGTGGATTGTACGGCTGTGAGGAATGGTGAAAGTAATAATCATCCATCCCCTAAACAGAGACCTGGTGGACTAAAGTTAATTACAGTACTGATAACACAGTGATGAGAACCATGTGGTAGAGAAATGGTGTAAATAGTTTTTAATAAATGTTTGTTGGTTTGATTGACCACCAATTCTTAGTCTTCCTCAGCATGTTGAATGACATGCTGGAGTATTGTTTGTGGATGAGGCATACCCTTTCACAACAAATGACCATTATATATGTTACTTCCAACCAACTGCGGGCTCTCTTTCTTTCACCATTAGAAAAATAAAACGAATAACATTTCCACCAATTACAAGAGCTTTAGAAATCCCACTAGAGATATATGAGTAAATTAACAGGCTGTATAGATATTTTTCATTCAAATGCATCATAAGTATTTAAGTAGCAATAAAATGCATTGAAATTAACTGTGTGATTACTCTTTCGGCTAATTTCATGTTACTATCTTCCTTGTCAAAACTGTAAGTTTCTAGTATTAATGCCAACAAATAATGCAGCAAATGCAAGAAATGGGTTACAAGGAGATAGTTTTTTATAGGGAAATAAACATAATACTTTACTGATCATCAGTAATCATCTTAGATAAGAAGTCAACACCTAACGTGCCAGGAACATAAACACTGGTTTCCCTATAGCCATCCACTCAGTGGGGAAGATTCTCACATATTAAGCAGGCTCCCAGGTACCCTTTCGAAAAGTATTTATTACAAACTTCACCTTACTGAGAGTTAATAAGATGTGAGTGATTGGAAAAGAAGTAGAAATAATAACTGCACGCCTTCCAGTCAGTTTTGTGACTTATGGTGACCATTTCCAGGGTTTTCTAGTTAGAGACTACTCAGAAGTTGGTTACCAGTCCCTTCTTCTGGAGGCAACCTGGGACTGAGCAACTTGCCTAAGGCTGTACAGACTGGCTGTTCTTCTAGGAGGCACACTGGGGAACTGAATTCCCAGTCTCTGGCTCTTAGATCAGATACCCAACTCACTGAGCTATCCAGCCAATTAGAAAGGAACAGAACTAAAGGCGAAACATATGGATAAAGTCAACAAGCATGATTGTTGTGCCTCAGTTCGGAAAATTGTTACTCTCTTTTGCCACTTGCTCAATTGAAGATAATGTATTTTACATATTCCTACTGACCTACCCAATGACACACACACACACACACAAACAGCAGCTTTGGGGCAGAACTAGCTCTCTCCATTTGAAATGCAAACACTGAAATTTTGTTGTTTAGTGTAGTAAATTATTACTAGGGTAGGCTCACTGAATCAGTGAAGATCTGGTGAGTCACTCCTCTGTAAGTTCCACCGATTCAATGGGTCAAATTTAGTTAAAATTTATTCCACTAAATGAGATTTCAGCCAAAATTAGGCATACCATGAACATATGCAATATGTGGTATCCTGAACAGGCAGCTCTGAAACATCTCTGATTTTTAAGAGTATGCTGGACTCTTGCAAAGAGGTGGGGGCAGGGAAATGCCCTAGCTCTAGCTACATCTAGCTTATACTTTAGCCTAACATTTTTATTCAACTTGCAAAGAGAAACACTGCTCTTTTCGCTGCTTGAAATTAAGAGGTATGGGACATATCTCTAGATATGTGTTCTTGGTGAACAACAATTACAAGCAAGATCATTCTGAAGTCTGAATAAAAGCAAATTTCAAAAAGGTCTTCCTCAGGTTTCTGGGTTGCCATAGGAATAAGATACGAGGTTCCTTAACTCACCTCCAGATGCCTTTGACCTTTCTTTCAACTTTTCTGCAGCCATTTCACTGTAGCTAGGAAGTTCTGACATCTTTACTCCAGATCGAGCTTCTGCTATTAGCTGACGAGCTCTCTCTCTCAGTTGCCGACGCCGCTCTTCATCTTGCTGCTAAGATATATTGAACAGTTGCCAACTCAGTAATTGACAGAAATGCAATTTCATTCTCAATCTGATCATCATGATAGTAAATGGTTTACAGCATGGTGCTTGCCCCATGTTATAAATAGGAAGCTCTATATCAGCTGGGTGTCAACAATACACTTTTTAGAGCCATCGAGGAATCGGTTCTCCCCAACAGTTTCTCAATTATTGTATTAGATTTTTTTACAAAAATTAACTGGTTTTAAAGTTTATAATCTGAGGTCAATAGGCATCGAAAATATATGGTTGTCATCAAACACATAGCATGCTTATGTCCTACAAATTCCCAAGGGTTCATACAGCTAAAAAAGGAGATCATAGCCTGGTTACAAATGGAGAGAACTACTGTCGATCTGAATGAAGAGAAATGTGATTAATATTTTCTTACATAAATATAAACATCTACATTTCTAGTCAATTTGTTCTCTTTTGCACATAATGTACTAGTTTATTCTGATTTTCCAAATCCACAGTATTTATTAGGAGAATCCAAAACATCACAGAACAATGAAGAAGCATCTGAGTTAAGCTTGCTTGGTGTTTCGTGACTCTGCGGTTGATCTTAAAGATATCGACCAACTGTGAATTTGAGAGTTCTCTCTTGTGGACCAACACAGCCTTTTTTGCATCTTTTTTTCATAGATCAAAGGGTAAGATTACTAACCAACAGATAAAATGAAGAGTTCTCTGCAAACTGAAAAGTTCTTCCTCTGCACAATCACAATATAATGTATAATTGTTCCTATTTCACAGTATCCCTAAGGGAATTATTCTACTAAGCAATGTAAATTTAAAAACTTAACATGGACCAGTAGTACAGCTATTTCAGTCTTGTGCAGACAATTGCAGAACTTCCTAAGGGCAAATTTTTGGTATTGGAGCTCCAATGGCTGTGGGGGTATAGCAAAACTTCACAACCCGGTTCTCTCTCATAATTCCACAGTTCAACACATATAAGGACATCAGGCTGGAGGAGGCTGGGTTTTAAGATTTTGAGAAATCCCACTGTAACAGCAGAATGCCAAGTATGATGCTGCCATGTCAAATATGCTGGCTATGGAACAGCCCAGATATGTTGGCAGAATATTCTGGTAGCAGAACTGGGCCACCACTGCCTTGGATGTCTGGAAACAAATACCCAACTCCATTTCAATAAATGAAGTGCCAACACAGATTAACTCACAAAAGAAAGCAAGAGAAGGGGAAATGAGTACAATGCTCTATAACATTTATTTATTGAAAGATTTATAAGCTAATTTATAAACCCGTGTATAAACCCTGATGCAGCAGTATAAAACTTGATTTGAAATCACAGACATAACAAAGCAATGAAAATAAGGGTGGGTGATGGTACTGAAATAAAATTTAACAGTTATAACCAAATAGCATCATACGTGCATAGCTTTAGCAGAGTTCTAACACAACAACAGATCGTGGAGAAGAGTTGTATTTTTCAAGGCCCATCTGAAAGCCTCTTAAGGAGGGTGCCTGAATGGAATGTCTGCAGCTCTATCCAATTATTCCTTCCATTCCTTTTGTTATATGTGAACATTGTTTGTGTTTCCTCCGGACAGTATCATTTTGTCACACTCCCATCCCTGTACACTCCAACAAGAAGAACAATATCTCTTGGACACAGATTTCTATCTTCTACATCTGTTCCCTCTTGGAAAAGTGAGACACTCTACTTCAACCACTGTCACCATTAGCCAAACACTCCTAAATATTTTGGCCGTACAGGATTATAGCCTGGATGTATGGCGCACAGCAATTAACCACTCCATGCTATGTTTCACTCCAATGTCTAAGGGGGAGGTGTATAATCACAGTCACTGTTTAACTGTCATACAGTGACGTGACAACTGGTATCCCTCCCTCTCCTCCCTCCCTCTTCACCTTCTTTTCCTCACAAATATGTATAATTCATTCAGATCCAGGAACGTGAGTCTCCTTCCTACCTACTAGTTGTTCTTCCATCAGTAGAGGATAAATCTCACATCCATTCCATGTTGATGAATAAATGAAGTAACATAAGGAGAACTGTCAGATTCACCATAAATAAAGAGTATGAGCTAGAGTTTGGGAAGGCAGAAGGCTATTTGAGCAAAATTTCTATAAAACCCCAAATCATTAATAATGTAGATAAATATTACAATTAAAAGTTCTTCCATATGACAATTTCCGAGAGAGATTATTGGATTCATGGGCGGCGATGGTGGGTGGGTGGCGGAAACAAAGAAGTGCACTTGCCCTCTCTGAAATCCTAAACTTAGTATTTATTTAAAAGTAACCAGCTAAAAAATGACAGTGAGGTCAACAATCCATAGATATCATTAATACACTTTGCCCTTACCACCGAATTATTTCTGCAGACATCTTGACTAGAGTTGCAACAATATTTCTCATGCTGGTTTTTGACTGTTAATATAATCAATGGAGCTGAGCAGTTGCTGTTTCACCCAGATTTTTTCCTGTCAGTTTGCAAAACTTTGCTTTGTTCCAAAAAAAAGAGAAGAAAAGAAAAGCTTTTCTCTAGAGAAATGGGTGCTTCCTCTGTCCACACACAGTCTTTCTTTACTCTTAGAAAATGGATACCATGAAGGATCAGTGACCCAGTGCATGTGCACCATTAAACACACACACACACACACACACACACACACACACACACACACACACACACACACACACACACAAATTACTCTGCTGTCTTTGGATCACTCTGCATGTTCTGTACTTAAGACGCTCCAAGAGAGTCTGTAAAGCTGTTATAATGGCACTGCTGGGCAAGACACAATCACACTTTGTTTTGAAAGGCCAGGTCCAAGAGAAATGCCTGGCAAAGGGGAAAATGACCCTTAGCTTTTGGGTTTAGAACACCACAACTGTGCAAGAAGTACATGTTATCTATTTCGAAGGTATGTATGTTTCAGTGGGCACTTCTTAACTTTGTTGTGGTCTTTTTAAATCTCAAATGACCTAAAGACCAAAGACAGTACAACTATGCTATAATGTATATCTGTGGATAGCTGGGTTCGCATTTTAGTACAAAGACAAAGGAAGGGGGGGGGAGAGTATGCAGTTTTCACGATACAGTTTAAAGAGATGGAAGGCAAGTTTGGTGAAGCTTGACACCATAGTGAAGTATTGGGCAAAAGAAAGAAGAAAAAGGGAAAAAAGTGTACACACTACAAAAAATTATGGCCACTGGATCAGAAAGATTTGATATGTAGTATAAAATATAGACTGCAATACTGTTGCTTAAGTGTAGTAACTCACACCAGAATATGCCTGCTGAATCAATGGGGGTTTGGTAAGTTCACTCCTATGTAAATTTCATGGATTCAAATGGGCCTACTTTAGTTGTGACTAATTTTTGGTGTAGAATAGAGTGGGTCTATTTGAATCAATAGAACTTAACTGGTTTATTGCAGCACAATTTACTACACTAAGCATCAGCATTTCAACCACACAGCAGAAATCACAACTGAGTAAAACTATGTAGTAGTGGCGTTCCTGCATGTCTTCAATGAGTACTTCCCAGTGACAAAATGGATGAGCTCCTGATAAAAAAATATTGTGTATGTTTCCTAAAATTTTTACAGATGACCTCAAGTACACAGCTTATATTTGTGTCAGCTCTGAGTGTTAGAAAATTCAATTCCCTACAAAAAGGGCTAGGAAGTGAATTTTCTTTTTTAAAAAATAGCAAGATACTAAATAACCCACACCTCACATTGCTTAAGAATCCTGAAACAGAGTGGTATTTGGCTGAATAAAACAAGCACAAAATACTAATTAGGTACATTTTACCCATTTCCATGTAAATTGTTTGTTTGTAGCTATTTACTCATCATTGTTCTTGGTACAATAGGAAAAATGCAAATGAATGAATCAGAATGCAGCCCTAATGGGACTTTCTGTTTATAACCATTAGCCCAGAGGTGTGCTGTAATTCAATCCTTAAGCAGCAAGATTTAGCCTCATTAACAGCTTGCATGGGCAGGTTACAACTCATAAAACCCTACAGTAAACAAAGTATATGGACACAGCACAATATCTTGAGCCTGATTGACAGAATTCTGCTTCCCTATCAGATTGCCTCAATTTACTTTTCTACTAATGTCTTAACACCATAAAGACAATTTTGCTGAGGCCTTGCAGCTCTCTAGCAGAATTGCATATTTGATTTGTTTGCTTTCTCCTGGACACCCCCCCCCAAACACACACAGTAACAGCCCCATCAAAAATATATTTGTTGAAGTACTCACTACATTAAACCAGAAAGCCTCAGTATCTACCACAAATAATAAGATTTTGGTTTCACATATGACCAGCCAACCAATAGATCAACTGATTTTATCACAAAGCCTTTCATTTGACAATATGGGTTAAAATCTGGAGTTCACATACTTGTTGGAATCTTTCAGCATGTATGGTATTTTTTACTTTAATTTTTTTTATTTCAGAACTGAAAATAAGCAACAATCAATTCAGCAGCAAAAAGGTTTACTTATTATGAACACTGACATTGACTTAGAGAATTTAATACATAATAGTTGCATTAATTACCTGTCCAGGAAAATGTGATGTCTTAGTTTGACAGATAAACTGACACTGATAGAAAATTGCCTGTGTTCCTAAACCATTAGTACAGTCTGGAGGTAGGCTGAGTAATAAGCAGCCCCTTGGCTACTGTCGAGTCTTGCAATATCCCACCTTAAAAAAATGAAAGAACATTTTTTACACAACACTGTAGGGGAAACTCCAGCTGTGATGGAAAATATTGCTGAAGGAGGCCTTTTTGCCAAAGTTTTCCTCTCTTAATTGTTGACATAATTGTTGTCTGAGAGAGCACAGATGGATTACGGGGCCAGCTCACCTGTTCCAAGTCTAAACCCTGTCTGAATCTTAGGCATTCGTGTATTATTTCCCAGTGAACTCTGCAGTAGTTTTTAAAATGTAAC